ATAAGAGACAGCATCTAGCCACAAAGGCCCCCAGAAAACTGCAACACTGGTGGGGGGGGGGGTGTGGAGGCACCTACCTTTGACAGCAAATTAGTTCCACTACAGCTATTTTAAATACTAAAGATGGCCATTAAATTTTCATTGGAATAGGAATTTAGCTCCGCATTATGAATTTTCCCATCCTCCTCCCAAGATGAATCCAGCCTACACCCCTGATGACATTTAGAAAGGACATATTAATATTTTGATCAATCTGTAGAATAGTGGACAATAAATATATGTTTGCTTTCTGGGTTTAAATTCCTTCAACTAAAAATAACTCCACTCACTAATGCTCTGTCACAATGTATAATTTTCTGTGACAAATATTATATGATTTGTCCATATATGGGTATGATCATATCATATCACACCCATACATTGGCAAGTCGCAAGTATTTCTCAAATAAAACTTGACATAGTATTCCATCATGTAGGAGTTGTTAGTCATGCATTATTGGGTGAGAAAATAAAAAGAATTAATCATTTTTTTACTACAGTGAATTATCAATATTCCTGGATGAAGGGCCCACCCACAAGCATTGGAAAAAACACAAAATACTTAAATACAAATGACAGCAAACCTTTTCTTCTTTGGAGTTCATTAGCAAATAAGTTGGGCCTTGTATCTGATGGTTCACATGAATCACAATCACATATTTTGGCTCGTCTTCTTTTTCAACTGGGATTCTGCTTTCATCATCCGAATCCATCGAGCAATCAACTTCTTCAACTTGGGTTTCACGCATATTGATTGTACCCACAGGTAGCTTAAGGGGAAACAAAAATTTAAAAATTAATGTGTAATTTTGTATTAGTTTTTAGTTCCAATGAGAAGCTCTAAAAATATTCGGCTGATTGATTAATAGATTTTTTTTGTATGGGTGGGCATTAGGGTCAATATACTCTACTGCCTCTATTATACTGCCCTCATCGGAGCTTCCTAGATTATGAGAACTTGTTATTAATAGCAATATACTGTATAGCACCACTGTTAACGAAGGCAAATCCTAGATGTTTCTATTAAGGAGGAGAGCCAATGACCAATCAATGACCTACGGGAGAAGTGTTGGTGGACGTTTCCTTTCCTACTGTGGGGGGGTGGGGAGAGGTGTCCATAGACATACGGTTATACCACTTGAAAGCTTTGAAGTTTTAGCCACTTATTCTTTCATTTTATAATGATTTCACATTTGGTTAGATTTTTTTTGCAATTCATTAAAGGGGGTGGGGAAGAAAAACAACATGATCTGCCATTGGTTATCAAAGGTCAAAATGAATTTTTTTCCTCCTGATCATTTGATACAGTCGTATTTTTGCAATGTTCCCGCCTCCTTAGGGAGTATTTCTAGCTAGGCATGTGATTTGACAGAGCTTGTTCCATGAACCACATCCTATCCAGGTACCAAGTGTCTTAGAAGTTGGCAAAGCAATTGCGGTTTGGGGCTCGCAATCTTTAGGTTGGGGGTTTGAACACTCGCTGTGTATTGCACTTGTATGTCTGTGCAAGGTATTTTACCTAGCTATGTTCATCTTCTCCGCCAAGGATTACAAACGGGTACCTGGTAGGATATTAGTATGGCATAATACATTATAGTGTGATATAGAATATTATTGCTTGTGCATTATATATTGCAGCACAGCTAGGCACTTCGTGGTGGTTTGCAAATCATGGATTTAGTGACCAGGGATAATACTAACTTATAATAAGTTTCAGTCTGGTAAGCCTGATACTGCCTGAGATGCAACTCTTTTATTTAAAAAAACTCAAAAACCCAAGGACACGGGCAAGGTGACAAACCTCTAAATCGAAACTCTCACAACTGTATGATTGGTCGCATAAAAAAAATTTTAATTGCTCTGCACACGTCTACAATATATACATAAAAGCAAAACCAATATGTTCACATTTTCCCCACCAATTATATACATACACATTGACATTTGTCAATCAGTTAATTTAATTTAAATTTATTTTTAACCTTGGAAAAAAAAAAATGGAGAAAAAAATCATTCGTCTTGATGAATCACACAGCATCTAATGCATATCTCAACACATTGTCAAATATGTAGGCCTTTATTTCAACTCTGCAAAGCAATTCATTTTCCTAAACATAAAAATTATAACTGCTCTGTTTATACTCATATTTTCAGTATATGTAACAGGGAATTAGATTAACTAATTAAATATCTTGAAAACTAATTTGTGAAAGGTCATAATAATGTGCGCTTTCTGTGTTGACAAAAAAAAATATAAAAAAATATAAATATTTTGATTGCTTTCTTTGTGTGCTTAAGTAATATCTTAGCTTTCAGGTGAAAATTAAATTAGGACAATATTTCTTTCCCATTACCCATTGCATAAATAATACTTCTATATATTCTTTGGCTGGTAATCAATTTAAGACATTTTGTCGTAAAAGGACTGTATAGTTATTAGCAACAAGTTTGATATCTTTACTATTATATTATAGTATTCACAATTTTATATATATTATTATATATTCATATATATATATATTAATATTACATTTTCTATATTATTTTAATTATTATTTGTTATCTATATAATATAATGAAGTTCAATGAAATTCTTTTCAAAAAAACACCCCCAAAATTCGTAGAAATTTATACACTGCACACATTTAAAACAAAAATTCATAACAGAGCATTTTTTGGCACCTACAACCCTTACTCCCCATCTTGACCATCTGATTCCCCTTATCGCCTTTGCTTTAAAAATGATTCCCAATTTGCTCACTACTTGTGAAACTCTGTACCACTGCTCCTTATAATTCATATTAAGAATTTATACTTAGAGCAATTCATATTTCCTATAGAAATTTAGTAATTATCAGAAGTAATATGGTTTTTGAAAGATAATTTTTTTTATAAATTATATGAAAATACAGGCCTAAAGGATAATAGATCAAAGTGAGATATCATGATCGGCAAAGTAAATATTAAAATAACACTAACCAAAAAAAAAATCATTGGAGGAAGTGGATATGATTAACAATAGGCCTTACAGCATCTTATTATATTCAATTAAGATAATAGGGTTATGAACTTATACAAAGCAAACTGTTATTCCTACCTGGAAATAAATAGTTAAAAAATAATTTTGTATTTTCCTCTAATTTCTTTTGGTTAAATAGATTACACAAAAATAATCTCTTCAATATTAGTTTGTGTTATTAAAATTTGTTTCCTTTTTGATAAGTGTACTTGAAAAATTAATTATTTTTAAGAGTGCTGCATACTTGTTTTGTGACACAAATTAAAGAGTTTTAACAATGTGTAAACATATAATATCATTCCTAGAAATAACTACCTGTTTATTTAGGATATTAATAGTTTTCAGATTCTAAAATCCCTGTCCTTTACATAATGATACAAAATAGTATTGTACTAATACTACTGTATCATATAAAATAATAACAACAATCTTGACAATGCTAAGAAATAATATAAATATTTTAAAAATAATACATTCATTTATCAATAAATTATTTTAACAATATTAATATTTCTCAACCAACAATAACAGTTCTTTTCAGAACTATCTATGCGGTGTATCACAAGCATTAACATATATTATTACTCCGCCATGCAAATCTTCAAACAATATTAATAATATTAAATAATAATTATAATAATACTAATGATAATTATAAAGCACAATTTATATAGGGCATATTGCAATAAACTGCATCTGTGCACCTTATATTTACACCTCGTCATCAAATCAATTTTCTATGAAATGCATCTCTTAAAGAATTACAATTCCATAGGCAGTCAGAATTAGCACACATACTGAATCTACCAGGCACACACCTGGGAACCCAAGTGAAATAATACATAATAGTTCTACCAGAATTTGGAACATTTTACCCTGTGAAATTCGCAATTTTAATTTATCTGTTAGTTCGTTTAAAACTAAACTTTTAAACTATTTTAATAACTACTTCTTAAATAATTTTGATGTTGTAAATGTTTGTAGTTGGTCACTCTCGTGTAGATGTTCCTTTTGTTGAGAGTAGTTGTTCTGTTTCTGTACTATTTTGGGTTGACCAACCTGCATAGATGTTTAGCACCTGTTTGTTCTTTCCTTGCCATGTTTTTGTAAATTTGTTTGTTGTTTTGTGCTTGGCAGAAATTTGAAATAAATAAATAAATAGAATAATAGCCTCAAAACCTTGAGGACAAGGTTGAAAATCTGTATTGCAACTGCTGCACCTCTCTCTACGTAATTAAGTAATAATATTTTAACGATTATTAATAATTAATTATCATAATAAATCATCTCACCTTATCTTCTTGGTTCTTGAAATATGCAAATGTCTTTCCTAAAAGAACGCACCAACATTTCTTACTATGTCCGTGCTTTACTTTATTTATCCATCCTTTAATGGCTGGCTGCTGTCCTGTCTGTTCAAACATTGGTTGTGTATTGTAGCGACGCAAAACATTTTGTAAAACTATAAATCAAATATAAAGACACATAAATTTTAAAGATTATTATAATTGCTTTTAGAATATTTTACACAACTATCATTTATTGATGAAATTGAATTATTATTAAAAAATACATTTTTGTATCTGTTGTAATTAATTATTAGTTCAATTTATTTTAATTACTATTAAAAATAATAAACATTGATTCACATTTTAAATATGGTAAACTTAGCATTATTTAAGAATTAATAAAAATATAATTGGTTTTGTAAATGCTCAAAAGATTTTTTTTTTAAATCCTAAACACAAGAAATAACCTAAAACTAACTTGGACTGCCACAAGAATAATATCACAAAATATAGGAGCTGTGACAGGCCAAATGATTATTTTTTTGTAGTAATTAGTAATCAATCACACAATTCATTTTTTTATTTTATTGTATAATGATAATTTTAACACAAATGCAATGAAAAAAAATATGTATAAAAAGTGTATAGAAGAGAAAATACGTTCTAAGATACTAACCTTGGATCCATTCTTCTAACGTGGCGGTAGAGTCTGCTGTCAGGTAGTACACCCTCTTGGTGGTAACAAGTTCAAATGTGTGAGCTCCATTGGACCGTGCAATCTTACACATCCCATCCAATGGAATAAGTCCCTGAGCCTTCCTTGAAACATCATTCTACAATATGATCAATCAGAAAACATTATTATTTTGTTATTAAATTAATAAATATAAAGTCTGAACAGATAGTTATGACTTAAAACTATAATAATGATGATGATGTATGAAAACAAACATATTGAGCACAGTTGAAATATAATAACAAGAACTCAAGCTCATTTTATAAATAATAAATTATTTGTATATTTAATATTTAAAATCATTTTCTAAAAGAGCGAATACCGTACTCGCGCGAATAAGCGACCGGGCGCTTAAAATATTTTTTGCACTTTTTGAGGTGCGTTTATTCAAACGGGGCGCTTATTCGAACAGGGCGCTTATCAAAACAGAGTGGAAATTGAGGGGGCGCTTATGGAAATAGATGAAAATCGAGGGGTTCTTATGAGAACTTATTAAATTCAAGAGGCATATTTTGAATGAAAAACGATTATAAGGATATCAGGAAACCGCACATTACGAATGGTGGTGCGGCGGAAACTTTCGTCCAAAGAGCATGGCTTGTCATGACAAGAAAGTTGTGAGTACATGTATTACATAACAGCAGAATAGCAGATGAAATTAGTGGTGGTGGTTAGCTTGTTGGCCATCGGCTGATTGAGATCAGCATAATGCCATGTTTTCTTGAAAACTCAGATGAGAATGTGTTAGGTGTAAATTGTCGGAAAAGCAGTAGGACTAGGCTATAGAAAAGTGTAAGAAGATGAAAGTTGGAAATATACTGTCTGTCCAGGGAGCTCTCATCTGTCCAAGATAAATATCCTCATTTTGATATTGACTAAAGGAGAATGTGATTCCACTCCACACCTCAAATCATACCAACATCCACACAGTCCAGGATTGATTGAGTTATTGAGGGGGCGCTTATTCAAACGGGGCGCTTAAGGAAATTTTCACGTTAGAAGGAGCGTTTATTCGAGAGGGGCGCTTATTCAAAACGGGGCGCTTATTCGCGCGAGTACGGTACCCAATCAGTGAAATCATCATTGGATAATATAATTTTATGGGTTTTTAGGTTATAACTCTTAACATTAATAATGATGATTAATAATTATAATAACATTAAGTTAGCATAAGACGAAATGAGAGATGGAGTGACTGGGGGGAAAGTTTTTTTCTTTTGGGGGATAGGGTATACCCCCGTGCTATCCTAGATACGGCACAGCTGTTATTTATTTACTACATCTACCCACCTGTGATTTATAATATCGTAATTCTCCATTTTTCAAAACAAACCACCGTCTTTTCCAACTTTTCACTTTAACTCCTAGCTTGGTGAGCCAGCCACACTTCTCCATTGCTTCCTAAAAAAACACATAAATGTACATGAGCAAAATATTCAAAAAATTAAGCATATGAATCACAACTGTCCTGCAATGTATCAATATACTAATATAATAAAAAATGTCTTGAATTTTGTTATGTTTTATGTTTTAACACTGTGATGTCTGACCAGGGAAAAGTACAGTAATTTAAGTCGTTACAATCACAATCTAAATTTTCAAGCCCCGAAACCTTAATTCAGAAATTCCGGGATGGTGTCCGATAGGAGACAGCTTAAACCTGATTTTGTTAATTTTTCACCTAGTCATTATTTCTGAGTGGACCCTTGCAAGTGTATTTTTATGTAAAATAATGTTTTTTAAAGATGACAATACTGTACTACTCCAAATACCTTCTTCATGTTCTCGGTTGTATAGGCAGCACATGTCTTGAGGAGCTTGTGCTCTGGTTCCTCCGAGTGGTTGCTGTCCGTGAAAGACATGGCATCAGGCGGGATGGCATAGTCTCCTTCTGAGATAGCAGATTGTCCAGACACACCTAAGGTAGAGAAAATATATATTGGTCATATATTTATAAAGAGAAAACAAGAACATATGTTAAAAAATATGTGTGTGGTAGCTAATATATTACAAAGAGGAAGTAAACTAACAAAAATAAACACACTAATAGATAGTATTTGAATACAAACATTTACAAAAAAAATGGCTAGTCATTAATGCTAATAATTATACTAGGACTCAAAACATGATTTTTAAATATCTTGGCTAATGATACAAAATAACCTAACTCTACCCCTTCACTTACCAGTACAGTATAAATTGGTACTACAATAATGGTGCATTCACTGTTGCCACAACCGACAAAGGGGGGTCAGAAAATAACCACTGACTAATGTTTATCAAAGGGATAAAGGTTATATTTGGGTATTGATAAAAATCAGACAATAGCTATTTGTTCATGAGTAGTACAACAACCAACAACAAAAACTTGAATAAGTAGTTTCATAGAATATAATTGATGGTTCTTTGTAAATATATAAAAGCAGAATACGTGCAAACATATGAATATTGGTAAAAACTTAGCATCGCAAAGTAAACACAATACAAACAGAAAAATAATAATAGTGCTTGCAGTCAATGGTATGAAAGTGCCTGGGAGTTAGATCTTCGCGTATAACTAATAGAGTTATAAATTCTCTGTGGTCTAATGGTATGCTACTACTCGTCTTGCAGGTTCAAATCTCGCAACAGACACTTTCATCATACAACTTAAAAAGTGAAGAATTTGTTCAAGGGCTCTTGATATTTGTTCAAGGGCTCTTGATACGATTATAACATCATGTTCCTAATTGAGCACTGTATTATTATTTATCCATTGCTACTAATATACATATAATTACGTACATGTATATACACAAATTATATATTTTGTTTTTATATAATGATATATGTTTGTGTGTATATGCATTCTTTTTTAGGAATATACAGTACCTCTTTTCTTTGCAGAGGGGGCACTAGGATCAGGTGATCTACACGATGATGTTGCACTAACTGTAGATGCAACTGTGGTCCTCTCCACGCTGGCTTTGCTAATGCCAACCTTCCCAGACTTCCGCTTCCCTCTACCATACTCTTCGTCGGACGAGTCGGAAGATTCGCCGGTGAATGGAGTGCTACGAATCTGAGCTGCAGCCTGTTTGTGAAAAAAAATTGGCCATATATTTTAATGGTTCAGCTTAGGGTCCACCTTAAATATAAGTAAATAACTTAAATAACCAGTAGCTAAAAAAGAAATGTGTATTCAATGTGTTTGAAGTAAAGTAGTCCTGAAATTTTTATATTTACAAGAATGGGCTTAGGAAGAAAACTTTCTTAACAAGTTGTAAAAATTAATATTCTAAGGAACTGAAGAAGTAATCAAAAACGGCTATAATAACATACTTTAAATATTTAAAAAACAGAGGGAAATACATTATTAACACTCCCTAGCTTTGTAATTTTTAATTAGCCATTTCCAATTATTTCTTCAAACATGCTTTAAAAGTCTTAGAATATTTATTTGTAAAAAATACCTTTTTTTTCTCTCTCTCTATAGCCTGGTTTTAAATGGTACAACCTTCCCTGAACCCATCTTCCTATATTTATCTAACATGAATCCATTAGTAAATGTGCACTAAGTTTATAATTAAATTACAATTGTCAAGAATTTTGAAATCCACTGCAGAATTAGACTGTCTAACAATTAGAAGCAAAACTAGTAATATTTTAAAATTTGTACATATTCCCATGATCATGTACAATGACCGACTGCCCTTCCTCTGACCACACCCAATTTTAATGAAGTATATGATTCTATCTTTTTCCAATCATTAACACAATTGGTTTTCTTCCGTTAGCCCACACTGTGTTTATTACTAACAAGAACTTTTGTTTTTGTATTCATCTACAAATAATTATTTTGCAACATAAATCTGAGCTATGGCACCTGGTAATATGCAAATGTTCAAGGTTGAATTTATTTAAACATTCAAGCACGTCTAAATATCAATACTTCATGAACATTTTGTATATGACAAGGAGAATTATATTGTAAAAAAACTTAATTTTGATTATTAACATAAATATTTATTATAAACTTGGTCTATATAATTAATTCATATTTTTGGTCACTTTAACAACATCTTGGGAATACGTCAAACTTTTTGAGCAGCGACCATGTACGAAAAGGGACTAAAAATAAATTATGGACATCAGGTAAACAGGAAATATTTTTAATAAGCCATTTTAATTTTGGAGGTTTTCATTCTGAGGATATCCAAAAGATTAAAAACTGTTACACAGTTTAAAAACAGGATAATACGAAAATGTAACGAAAGGCTATGTTAGGCTTGAGGAATTCCGGAGTATAAACAGAAGGCTAAACGGAGACAAAATCAAGAAATGAAAGTTTAACAAATATAGCCTCCTTCTTTTGGTCTATCCCATTTCCCACAAGACATACACATGACACCCATGGTGATTTTCCATGCTGTGGCCTTGCACAAATTTTAAGAAATAATTTTGTGGCCTGGAGAACTAATGTAAAGCATTAAATCTGCTACAAAATTTAATACAAGATTAAATATTAACGATGCTTGTCTGTCATGGGCTAAGAAAAATTTGAAAATTCCGTATTTGAATTGGTTAATTGTATATTTAAGTTATTAACTTACAATTGTAAATTTAAATGTGAAATTTTCCTGTTAGTTAGTAGACAGTTAGAAAAAAATTTCTAGTATTTTGTTGCATAGATCCACAATTGGCTATTAATTAAATTGTTTTTTAAGGATTTTTGTAGTAAAAATCAGAAAAAAACTTTAGTTTTTATATCTGTTTCTGGTTGGAAGTTAATAACTAATTTGAATGTTTTAAATGAGCTATTCAAAATGTCTTTATTGCATTTTTTAGGTTTTAATAGAGACACCCTAAAGGTCTTTGTGCCATCCTAAACTAAATCAATATATAATTGACAACTAATAACTTTAATAATTCATTAACTTATACAATAATATTAGCTTGATTGATTGATAAGTCCAATTAAAACATCTGAGCTATTAACAAATATATACAATATATGAGTATTGGAATTGATAATTGCTTTTAATAAATTATTGACAGCACAGACACTATATCTTAAGTTTGTTTAATTAGCCAATTAATCAATCAATTTGTTACATGATACTTTTCATTAACTAAATAAATGCTTTTGGAATGCAATTGTATTAAAACTAATGAATCTGTAAAGCAATGAAAGTGAATCTATAGCCTGTCACAACCAATTAAAAAAGTTTCCAACTGATGAACATCATAACTTCTTGAAGGTTGCCAGGCAAGAATCCGCCCAATTACGCAGTATCTTACTGGAAAGCATCAAGATATCCATGCTGACGACCATAACAAAATTTTTTATGTCAAAATGTCATTGGAGAAAACGGTGTTTCCTTTGCACAACATACTTTCGTCCTGTTTACTACAAAGTACTTTTATTTTATTATAATTAACATTCATTAAATAATTGACTTTTAATCCCAAAAATCTTGTCCCTCATCAACAGCAATATGACTGTAGCAACTGTTGTTTATCATTCATAGGAAAAAACGTCAAATTTTCTTGTTTGCCAGATGTGTCAAATGTTTGCTCCAAATAAAAAATATTTGTTGATTTTAGGCTATTAATTTCTCCAGTTATTTTCATAATATTAAATCAGTACTACAGCAAGTGCAGCAAATACTGAAACACCGACAACTTGGGAATGTGGTTAATTAATATTATCAACTTTTATCATAAATTTTATAAAGCTTGCGTAACAATTGTTTTTTATGGGTTAATGAAATTGCATACAATGTTCACTTTTATCATGTGAAAACCATAATTTGCAAATTAAAAAAAAATAAAAATAAAAATGAAAGTCTCCGAAAAAGCAAGTGTATACAATCGCAACTAATACTCAGGTTATCTTTATGATCACAGCCCTGCACATGAACATGCAAGTCTACAACTTTTTGGAAGATCTATAGATAATTTTTAAATGTTTACTATCATATCAAGTTATCAATGCCGTCTGATGACCTTTTGACCGGACTTCCTCCAGGGTTCATTATAAAAACACTAAATGTACTACAGGGTAGCAACTCGGTGACATACCCCTCGTAATGTTGTGTAGACAGGAACGTCCATCTCTTTGTAGATAGCGTTAGCAAACTCATTGTCTCCTGGTTGGTAAATAGCAGCACTGGACTCTGGAAAAAAAAAAGGAAATTTAATTAATTATATGTTTGATAAGCACATCCAGCATAAACAACAATATGTAGCAATACGATATTGGTAAACAAATATATTGCTATGGTTACTAATACTCAGTAGCGAGGCAAGCAAGCAGGGTCAGAGGGATCTCGGCAGGTCAAGCATGGATGACTAGTGGTCAAATGCTATTAAAATCCTTTTACTGCAATTCCTAATAATGTGGTCTAAACGCCATCCAACACCATAAAATCCCCACTTGAGTACCCAACTGGGATTTTTACTCTGGGACACTGATGTCAGTTAATCTGCCTATTGCAATCAAGGACACAGGTAGGCTTAACTAATTACATACCCATGGGTGAAAAGGGACATATTTTCCCCACATGTGATTAGCCTTAGATACTTTTAATTCATCACAATATATTTGGCTGTTTTTTATAGGTGTTTCTCTCTCCATGAAGCTTTTAGCGTCAGTGTAGGCCTACACAAAGCAACACAAAAATGCTTTCAAGAAAATAATTCTAAAGGAATTGAAATCTATACACGCACATTTTTTGTTCGATATTTTAAAAATTACTCAACTGCACTGTTCAGTATCTGTCTATGTTTAGATGACCTCATTTTAGGACATTATTTCTGAATGCAATTCAGATCTACTTCACTGCATGTATAGTACAATGCTTTTGTAATCAATATACCACAAACATAACAACGATAAGTAGTTTTTCCCATTTTTAAAGCAACTGAAATCCACTGGAACTGCAGCGAAAAACAAGGCTACACAATTCAGCTCACAGAGTGGCTGCCACCAGCCAACTGAGCTATTCTGCTCTCTATTCAAGCTTGTTGTGAAAGGTTGTAAACCATGCTGATATTTTGTGGGAATGTTGACTGTCTGAAAGGGATATTTAATTAGTATGAGTGACTCAGTCTGAGTTGAGAGTTAATCATGAAAAAAATCCTGTAATTTGTAGGATCAGAACCTTGGAACTTGGGTTTGTAAATTAAGCATAACTCATTAAGCCACTAAAATCCTCTTCAGAGTGCAGATGTTAATTGGTAGTTAAAGATGGTTGCCTTTCACTTCTAGAGTGCTGTGTTGAACCTCATCTGACTATAAAAAAAATCCAGATTTAAGCCAGGCACTTACCGCAGTACAATGGTCATCGACCAATAAGATTCTATGGAGAACGCAACGCCATTACGCATGCAGAACAGATCGTTTTTAATCTATTCAGACTGCCACCAACAATCAGCAGATGGAGTTGCATCATATAAGCGCAAGTTTTATTTGTCAGTTAGCAGTTGTACGACTGTCGTATGGCGCAGCAAGACATACCTAGCTTAAGTCTCAAACATTCCAAGTGCCAATGTGCTTTAATTATTGGCAACATAACAATTGTTTTTGCCTAATAATCAATAAATATGTAACAATAATTTTCCATATTTAAATCCAAATCATGATTAATTATCAGACATACAGTAAGGAAATATGTAAAGGTTGTAATATAATAATTTGACATCAAGCCAGCATAATTAAATAACTTTATAATAAAATGATTGTTTTTGTGTAAAAGTCTGGTTTTAATTGATCAACCAGATTGTACTTAGTAGTGTTGTTGCTGGCATTTAGCCAAAAATTCCAAATCAATGCAATTTGATGAAAACATATAAATTATTCACATTAATTAAACCATATATATATATATAGGGCCTAATGGATCCCAAATATTTCTAGGTACTTTATATTAAGTCTTAGTAGTAGTGGAAAACTATCCTCCATTGGATACCAACCCAATTATTTCTGAGTCTAGGTTTCAGGGCCAAATCATTATTATCAATTAATTTTAACATTTCCTGAAAAGTGTCATATGATGATGATGCTTAAAAATAAAAAAAATGATTTGTTGAGAATGGTATTGACAATGTTCGAAGTAAATGAGGCATGCCATCCAAAAACAAGCATACTGTTGCAATATGTTAAACTGATTATAGCATAAGAATGTACTATATTTCATTGTAGCATTTTTTTTATGCAACTTGAATAGTGGCATTATAAACATTAATAATAAGTAATTATCGGAGTCAGAAATATTTATTGTAATCAAAAATTTAAACATTTAGAAATAAAATCTTTTTTTCTAGATATATACTATAATTTATGGCACATTTACATTGTAAATACCAGAGTTGGCACCTTTACCAGTAAACTGTACTCTATTCAATTTTCTTTTATTCATTCTTAAACCATTTGTCAAACTAAATTGTGCCGTTAAGGCACTTGTAGCAAATAAAAGAAATTGAATTGAAAATTGAAAACCTCTACGGCAGAAGTAACAACAATACAAATTAACAAGCAACAAGATAAATAGAAACCCTGGTAAATTACCTAGACAGAGAGAAATGAAATTGTAGGCCTACTATTATCACAATTGACTGGAACATTTCATTGCTTAACACAAGTAGTTTAATTAAGTTAGAAACTAGTTAAGTTGGCGCAAGTCAAGACTTCATGAAGTCACTCTCAAGTTTCAAGTTAAAAAAATGTTTAGATAGATCTTTGTACCTCACTTCTTGAAAACGACTTCAAGATGGAGTTGAAACGCTGTTCTTTTATACCGTAATTGATTTTCAACTTAATCATCTGTGACTAAATGAGTTGGCACATGAAAATATATGGCGATGTAAAACGAAACAAAAAAATAATGGTACTCACGTGAACACGAATTGTTATCTAGGATCATCACTATATGCATATTTACCGCTAGTCTGTCCTAAAGTTAATTTATTTATGGTTGGTATTTTTTTTAAACCCCAAATATTCTTATGGCAAGCAGATCTTGACAATCGATTTTTAGAGTAACTTTCAATCGTACTAGACTTAGACTTGTATACTTTCAATCGTGGTCTACTTGTACATGTATGATCAATGTCTGATTTACTATTATCACCTGACTACCGTGCTGCGTCATATTATAGACATGTGCGGATTATCGCGGTTTAATCTTTCCCGTTTAAAAAAAAAAGGACGTACAGCAACGAATGATGTACTAAATAAACTCATTTCAAAGGAAGTCACAGACGCAGAGGAAAAATAATAAAATACTCAACGAATCATCACCTGATCAATTACATGCTGTTACATATCCTGAAAAGTTTCATGTGGTACAAATGAGAGTGATTGGTGGAAGATGATAAGTACATGGTGTTGATTGGTTGATAATAATTGCTAACAATTAATAATTAGTAACTGTTATCAAGTTAAAAGTTGCATGTCAATAGGTGAAGAATATATCTTTCTTGATTGATTTATGGGTTGGACTTTTCCAATTGCTAATTATATGGCACTTTAAAAATGGTTGGTCTTCAGATGAATTTTGAATTGACTCATTTGAAATTAACCATAAATATCTTTCACACATTCTTCCAAATTTTCAACCAAAACATAAAAAAATCAATATAATAATATATTTATTTTTCATATATATTTCTTAAATTTCAACCTATTATCCATTCAAAAATGCATTGTGTAAATTATAAGTAAGAATATAATTATTTTTCATAAATATTTTTTATAAATTTCTACCTATTATTATTACAAATACATAAATTATGTACATATTATATTATAGTTAAATAATTTTATCTGGCCGAATGTTTATTGCAAATTATCTATTCTTTCATTGTACATCAATTTCAAGAAGACTTTACTAATTTACAGTAAAGTATTAATCTAGATTTAATTAAAGTTAGTTATGTAAAGTTCAAATTAAAATACTCACTTCTGCTTGGTGCTGTAAGATTCTCAAGACTTGCAGACATTCGTATACCCTCACTAGCCACATTGTATATACGATTTTCCTGAAAAGAATATAAATACGAAAACAATCAAATCCATTCTTTGATAAATATGGTATCATAAACTACTAAATAGCTGACATTAAGTAGCAGCAGACCAGTACAGGATAAAAGGTAAAAAGTCATACAATTAACACCACATTTCCATCTCCATTTTGTCTATAATGCGATTTCTGCAAGCAAATTCTGTAATAACACACGATTCACATTTAGGAGTGCGCCTTCTAAAAAAAAACAAGTATTTCTCTCAAAGATCTTATAAACTAAATATGGCGCACTCTATTCAATTTCTATATGCAAATTCTATAACAACTATGGTAACAAGCAGTGCCCCCAATAAAATAATTTGATTGTTTCTGATGGGAGAGGGACACCAAACTCCGATGAGGCCCTTGGACCCCACTAATGTAGAAGTAAATGTTAGTGAAGTTTAACAATCAAATAAGATTGATTTTCTTTTTTCAAAAACAAAATGTTTTTCTAAAAATAATGATCAGATGTTTGTGGTTTGAAAGCATCATTAAATATAAGTAGACCTATTGGATATAAACATCCAATATATACACAATCCAGAATAGCAATGAAATGCATTATGGAAAAACAAGAAAAATCTAAAGCTATGTTCACCTGTTCAATTTAGTCCAACCCAATGATTTGACATATAAAGAAAAACGCAGGAAGTGATAATTAAACTAAAGTGAATAATGTATGATATTAAATTACAAAATATAAAAAATACACCACATTATAGAGGAATGCTATTATTGAATTAAATTCAATTCAATTCTGACTGCATGCAACCGATCTAATTTTAACATTATAGCAATATTTTGATATGTCATTTAGAACCACATGTGCTACCTATTTGCAAAAAAATTTACACATATTTAAACTACCAAACATGGAAATAGTATTATTCAATTTTAAGTAATTAATTTTTCTGCCTGTGTGTCAATTCTGTAGGCAAATAGTGTTTTGTTTACCTGGAAATATATTCTTAGTCTTTGAATGTGTATAAAATGAGTTTCAAATTATTGTTACTATATTTAGGGAATTTTAACAAATAATAAAATATATATAATAGCACAGTGAAGACACAGTAACACATTTTTTCTAATTTTGCTAGAATGCATTTTTCCTTTTTTGCTTCAATAATAATTCAACAGGAATGGTTGTGAATAACTTTAGGAATTTAATTTATATGTAGTAGTAAAAAAGAGAAAGTAATAATAAAAATTATATTTTTATAAAACTTCATGTACCACATACAAAACCGACTTTTAGGAAAGTCGATTTTTCTATTAGAAGATTTAAACTGCAATTTAATACAGGAAGACAAAAATTAATTTACCTTTTATATATTGTAATGAAAGACCATTTTATGAGAAAATTTGACGATTTACGTTTATTTACCATTTTATAAGAAAATTTGACAATTTACGTTAATTTAAAATTAACGTAAATCGTCAAATTTTCTTATGAAATGGTCTTTCACTTACAATATATAAAAGGTAAATTAATTTTTGTCTTCCTGTATTAAATTGCGGTGGAAATTATACAGTTCCTATGCAGTAAATAATGTGGAGTCATTAAGAAACTAAAAGCACATTAACTTGCAATTATTAATCGAGCATAACCCTTGAGGTTTGGAAAAGAAAAACATGGACTCCCATGTTGGCTAAGTGGTAACCTGTTATGTATAATGTTAATAAACTGTAACATGCAATACTAATACATATAAATGGTGGTTAATTTACATTTATTCATAATATTCAGTTTGTGCCAACTTTAAAGGTTATATGCAAATTTCATCAAGTTTTAAGAAATACACTTTGTTTTGAACAGTAAAGTTTGAACAACGAAATCCAATAATTTGAATTGGTTATTTGGTATATTTTTCGCTCCTCTGTTATAAAATGTTTGTATAAACTGTATAGAGCACGGGGTGGGCATAAAAATTGGTCAGAGGGCCAAAGTGAATTTCTGATTTAACACCGAAGGCCGCACCCAAACTTTGATGTTTCCAGTGTGTTTCCAAAAATCTTCGAACACTGCTTTTTACACTACTTTATTCTCAGTTTGAATGTTACTTTTTACATACGATCGGTGTCGGACCATAAAAAACAAGGTGTTTTCTAGCCAATAGGCTATACACATAGGGTTTTTAATTCATTTTTCAGAGCCCCCAAAAAAAAATCGCAGTTGGGCCGCATGTGGCACGTGGGCCGCACTTTGCCCACCTGTGGCATAGAGGCATGCAATATCCGCTAATAATAAATATAACTATCGTTTAAGGAATATGAGAAACCCAATCATTTTTTTAGTTATTTGATCTGTTCAAAATATGGTTTAGAAAATCAAAACTTTTTTTATTAGTAATCAACAGTAAAATCTAATTGTGTCCTAAAATCGATTATTTTATATCTATTTGGTAATTAATAGAATACCATTAAAAATGTATGCATAAATAAACTTTGATAGGCAATTACTCAAAATCATCTTTATCTTAACTCCAGGAATGCTGTACTTTTACTATTCGATACTCAGACTTGAAATGTTCAATTTTAATTTATTGCACCTCATATTAAAAATTACAGTCATGTATCAGAAAATACCAACAACTTGAATTTCGATATTTGCTACAACTTTGCAGTATAATATTGCCAGACAACAGGTTGTTGAGCTGATGAGATATAATTTGTAGTGGAGAGACACTTTAATATAAATACCCTCATATTTAGCAGTCAATATGTTAGATAATTAATACCATTTCATATAATTATCAGTAATGAGCAGCAACAGGTAGATTTTTGTCAACGTTTCTCCATATTTGCAAATGAATTATTGTTGACATACATCAAGAGAAAAACAAGTGTTTACAATCACTGTCACTACCAGCCACATATTGATATACAGTTCCTTAAGACTTCCTCAACAGCTGATGTATTTTGTATCAATTGACAAGGTATTTTTTCGTTTATTAATTTCATTATAGGTCTACATTTAGGGACCAATAATTACTCCTTCCCGCTCAACAGAGCCTCTGCCCAAATATATACTGGCAAAGATCCAAAGAAAAATAAAAAAAGTTTGCTGAAACTCACTTAATTCTATTACATACTTCTCTTTCTTAATCAATTATCAAGAGTAAATAACAATATAAGAGTTCAAATTAGAGTATATAGTAAGCCTATATTTCATTATTATCTAAGTGAGTGGATTGCCACTATTGAAGGTAATTTGATCAGTCTTACAAATTGTTTATAATTTTTGATGAGACTGAATATCCTATTGTCATCCTATACCCTAGATTTGGAAGGCAAGCATTTTAACCACTAGGCAACATGAGTTTTCCTAAGAATTCATTCAACCTGGGTGTACAGAGAAATCATGGATAAAATGCTTGCCCCAGGAGACATACTGTATACAAGAAGTGGCCAGACTTTAATCTTGAACCCTGGATCTTTCAAATGGAAACCCAAACTGTTGAACCAATTTTTACAATCTTCCCAAGGGCTCCAATTTGGAAGAAGTCAATTCCTGGAGATCTGCCGTGGGAGGGAAAAACTTTCGCATATGAAGGTCTAGACAATTTATGATGGCACTCCCAAACTTAAATTTGAATATTATTTTCTTTTTTCCTCCATTTTTTTTATAATTTTGAAAAAAATTATGGGAATGGGCTGGCTTTCTCCACCCCTCCTGAAACATACCACTGATCTGGTTAATGAGGTTTCTTAACATACTTAATTCTATTTTGCTGCACATTGCGATACCCATCGGCACTGACTTCCGTAAGTTAATTAATAGTAAAGCAGTGAAAACATGTAAATATTATGAATCTGCGGGAGATGGGTTATTTTCCGGGAGATTCTTTCTTGCTTGCAAGAGTGAAGGAGGCCGTCCCGATTTCCGGAAGTTCCCGCAAAGTAGTGGAAGACCTGGGACCCCTGTATTCATTTCCCCCAACAAATTACGTGTCCACAACATTTCCATCTAACTTCATGAGTGAAGTTAAATTAGACTTTGCTACAAATTATTTCAATGTTACAACCAAACACCCAAGAGTTTTTCCTCAAATTGTGAGTTGCAGCACGTAGACCTACATACAAATGTTGTTGCGGAAGTCTTGTATTTGCGAAGTTTAATCCAAGATATAGTGAAACTAAGGCACGCTGGGAGTATCAAAAATTTTGCTAACACAGCAACTTCCGAAAACTACTCGCATTTAAAGTCAAGAGGACATATTTAATTAAAACATTTTGGAATTGATTCAAATTCAACTAAATAAATGCTAACACACTTGTATTTCAACCACTTCAATTAATAAGTAGTTTAGTGAAAGTTCTATTCAACAACGTCCTATTTAAAATATTACCCAAAAAAAAATATTGTTATTGCTTGGCATGTTCGATTAAATATTAATGTGTAAATGATGCATTAATCTTTGAAAACTTCTAACATTTTGACAGAAATGTTAATTGAAGAGTCATTTAGATAAATTCAATTTTATAGTTTAAAGTTTTTCATCATTTGAAAGGAATGCAGACACCTTTATTAAGACATTATGTAAAAGTTAATGGTAAAAAAAAAAATTAATAAAAACTTCAGTTTATTTTATTGGCTTTTCCCACGGCAGCAGAAAAGTAAACCTGTTTTTCTTCTACTACTAGTACTGAAGACCCTTTTCCTATAGTTTTTCACAGAGTCCTCCATGCTTGGATCTTCTTCAAATTAGGTCCAAGCAAAGACCATATATCAAAGGCGTACCTAGTAAAAATATGACAACATTCTACATACTTTTGAAATTGATAAACTAGTAATCACTCCTTTGTGTAAATAGATTTTAATGCAATTCGCATTTTCTTGAACAATGCAAACTAGTTACAAGTATAAGTTCTATGCAGAATTACTGTGATATTCATAAGTCTTCCCTCTCAACCAATATATAATGGCACTTTCCAGAGCGTCTATCCAACTTAACAACTGGCCAATCAGAATAT